ACATCGTTGTCAAGCAGAATTATTTCAGCACAATAAAAAATTTTGCACTTCAGCTTGCTTCTGAAGATTGGATGATTCTAGAATTTTCTCAGCTGGGTTTCATTGGTAAGAAAATGTTCATTTTAGTATTTGAAAGAACACATTCATCCTCAGACTCTGTGAATTAATAGTGATCTGACTTCAAAGCTATCTTCTTTGTACTGGAAATAGACCAAGAAGTAGAAATTAATTGGCTTTTTTAGGAACTCTGGTTTAACCCGTGGGGGTGTTCCTTTTCAGCGGTTTCATATACTTTTTTATGATTAAGGCAAACTCAAACTGTTGGAAAAGAGGGCATTTTTATAACCAAAAGTTAATTAATTTCTAAAAGTACTAACACTTGAACTGCAAGGAATGACTTATTTTGAATTTAGCTGCCGTTAGAACAAAAAATATCATTAAAACAGAACTGACTGAAGTAAAAGAAAAAAGCATGAAAACTAACTCCACCTAAAACAACTTCATTAGTGTTTGTGCCAAAATTTTCAAGAGCCAGCAGGCATCAGTTTGTCTTTGTTGCAAAGCCTATTCTATCTCCTCCACCTTTCTACTCCATCAAGGAGAAGTTATGACAGTCTGCTCCTTCCTACATGTAGAGTCTATCTGTCATTTGCCATGAACAGCAGTGAGAGAAGCTAATGCAGCATCTTGAGCTGTTGCAGATTGACTACCAGGGTGCTGTTGAAATTACTTTGTGGTTCATTGCTCTTACACTAATAACATTTTTATTGAGAGGTACTAGGCTTAACAGAAGAACAATGAAAGAGAAGTTTTGAAGGGATTTTACAAATCAAAAGGTTATTTCATTACTGCAGTGATGTGTCATGATCTGTCATGAGGAAAAATCAAAAGCTGAGTCAGAATGTGGAGGTTCCTGTATGTAGTCAACACAAACGATTTCAATGCAAAGGCTGTAAGTTGAGCTCAGAACAGGAAGAAAATCCTACATGTAACAGATAAAGTGCAGTCCTGAATTCTGTCACTCTCTTGGAAATTCTTGTTCTTGTTTTTACTTTGGATCTAATTTCCAGAGAAAGCTTCATTTTTAGCTCAAGTGACCCTTAATGGTAGCACTGAGAATCTTGGCACTGTGTGAATGGCAAGTACTACCCTGTGTCCAGCTCAGCATCAGGTGTGCTGAGGCAATAGTTCCCTGACTTTCAGGGTCTTAGAGATTCACTGAGTAGAAAGGAAAACAGTAGTTATCTCCTAAACGTGCTACGTTAAGGTACAAAATGGTACGTTGTACATTTGCCTGTCAGTCTAACCTACAGAAACAATGGAGAGGAGAGAAAATGGGCAGTGGAAAGTCTCCTTATCTATCTGGCCACCACATAACCAATCTGCTTGGTTGCCTTGGGCTACCAGTGGAGATGCCCTGTTGCTGAAATAGTTATGGGACTGGTTTTGTGGCCTCAGAGGTGGAAGGGAGAAACAAGAAATGGAGCTGCCTGTCATGGAGAAATAATAATTTAAATAATTTACTGGAGCTTTTGCCCTAAATAGACTTGTCTCTTCTCTTGGGGAGTCCCTTGCAACTCTCTGTGATTCTGTGGCTGCAGAGACTGGTTGAATGCCAGCATCTGATTAGACTTTGTTTCTACTTTTGAACAGTTAAACTCAATCCCAACTAAACCCACAATTTGAGTTTAAGCTTTTAGTTATGCACTTTAAATTCTGTATGAAGTTCCTGGGCTATAGAAGTAATTCACATTCATTCTACATTTGCCTATTTTAGTAGTAAAGCGTACTCGCTTACAAATTGCAGTTTTGTAAGATCAACATGTCAAAATGGGTGTAAAACCAACTTACAGTTTAGGACATGCACTGTCTACCCCATGCAGATGTATTTCAGATCATTTATTATTTGTGTATTTGTGTGTTTCACACCCCTTTCTATTCCCAGTGCTGCTATAGAGGGCACAGTGTCTAAGCCAGAAGGGGTAGGTAGGTAGTTCTTAATACTGAGGTTTGGCTTAATCACCTGCACAACTGTTTAAAAATATTTTGAAGTTGTTTTTCTATACTGTCTATATACTCTTTTTCAGTGTAGGCTCTGACAATAGTTGTAGTTAAATTTAGTTTTTAGCTCCTGCTACTTGCATCCCTGATCTTTGTTCCTTGTATCATATTTGCTTGCCTCTGATTAGATCATATCAGTAGAGTTTCAGATGCGTTTAGCTGTGGCTATACATCTTAATGTCACTTTTCTACCTGGCAAATTAAATTAGGGCTTTTTTTCCTCCCAATTTTGTTACTTATCCTCCTTTTAAGTTTTGAGAGAAAAATTAGTATTCATGGAAGTGACTAAAACTTCTGGCTTTGAGACACATTGGTGTACTATAACCATATATTGCCTAGAAATTTTATGCAAGTAATGTAGATTTGCCTCATCTTTGCTATCCCTTTATGGATCTTGATGCAGACTGATACTGTGGTAATTTGGTAATGCAGATAGCTGTGGAGAAAAGCAAAAGTAGTTGCTTGTAACTGGGGATGAGTTTTATGTGTAGATGTCTACAAGAGAAAGTAGGGCACTGAATTGCCTAGATGCTACTGATTTAGAAATAATCACTAAAAAAGAGAGGTGTGGCTGATTTGCTGTAAGCTATTGGAAACCTTAATCAGGTTGCAAGTTCACTAGCGCAAGGTAAAAATGTTTTTTGTCCTAGTGTATTTCTGAACTGAAAATCTAATTTATGCAAGTACTACATGAGGAGGTGGGAAGTGCAGCTATTTAGGCTGACAGCAGGATTATAGAATTCTGTCACCTCTGCCACAGAGCAGAAGTTGCTTCCTTTGTGTTTTTTTAATAGTGAAAGCATAGTCTTAAGTGCTGTCAAGTATCTAATAAATAATGGGTGAGACACATGCTCCTTGCCTAAGAAACTCTGTGGAAGGAGATGCATCTCTTGCTCTTCTGGATTCTGGTTTGCGCTGCAGTCCCTGACACAATATAGGAGAGTTCTACTAGCTTTTTATGAGACATATTGATTTGTCTTCCAACTGCCTCTGAGCTGAACTGTTTTCCAGAGGATCTATAATACTCTGCCAGCTGTCACAAACTTTTAATGGAGCGGTCTGAAATCAGACTTTTGGTTGTCTTATACAGTTCCTCTGAATCTTACTGTGCCCTGATGTTTTAAGGCCTGTTGTTCTGATTATTTTAAGTTGTTCTGATTATAGTTTTGCTCAAGCTGTCCACATAGTTGAAGTTTGGGGAAGAGTAGATCAAGTCAAATATTGAGATATTTAAATAACTTCAAAGAGGTTCTGGTTTTAATGCCAGTAATTTGCATCTCATTAACAGGAAAGCATTGAAAGACTTCAACTGTAGTTAGAATATGTGCTTGCAGGTATAAAATTATTGTTGGTATAGACTGAATACATTTAATGCTGCTTATGTGGAAGAATGAAAATGAATTATTTAAATACTTGCAGTTCAGAGAGCTGTAGAAAACAAAGTTTTTCATTTTTTGTGTGTCTTGTGCTTGCCAACAAAGTACTGAGGGGGCCAGAATAGTTCACTAAGGATAGCATTTAAATGGACTGAGAACCAGATAGAAGTCTTGGCAGGGCACAATAAATAGCAGAAAATGTTCCACAATATATTTTTTTTTTTTTGTTCAGTCCTGGCTCTCGCTTTTATCAATATAGATAAATAATATGGAGAAAGTCTTCCACATTTTGTAAGTCTCTAGGGATTTATGGAGCAAGATATTACCTTTGAATCTTAATTCTTTTGGATTTTGGAGTTTCTTTCCAAGGGTAGGTTGTATGTACCCAGAATCTGAAACCCCTGAAATTTTGTCAGCAGAGTCTCCTTGATTTATGTCTGTTCTCATGCACTGTACCAAGTGCACAAACATGGTGCAGGATGAGTCATTGCTTCAATTCTTTCACATTGTCTTTGGTTTGAGGCAGTGTGTGTTGACTGCAGTTTTTGCTTAGGTCTCTCTGGCTTGATGATTTTTGACTGCATGTTGGGGTTGGCCAGTGGGCAATCTGTAGGCTGGATTTGGATGGCATCTCAATGCCTCCATGGCTCACAGCACTTTCCTCACCTGCAGCTGCGTGGGAGGCCACAGGACTGCAGGACCTTGGCAAATGCTGCTTTTTGTTCTTGGGCTATGGCTATGTCCTAGGGAAGCCAGGCTGCTGCTGCTACCCTTGTTCAGGAGAGGCCAGGCAAGGGCTTGGCTGGTTTGGATTCAGAGGGGCTGGTGTATCGGATCTGTGCAGTAGGAGTTGTACTGGGCTGCTTTCCATCACAAGGAGTAGCTGTGGACAGTCAGAGGTCCAGAGCTTTGAAGATGTGTTTTACCAGGGGCTTTGCTGCAGAGGCCTGTTTTTGACCTGATGTAGGAAGAGCGTTCTGGGGGAGAAAAAGGGGACATTGATCCATGGCTGTACTGCTGTGCTGGGCTGGTGGTGTCCTGAGGCAGAAATGACAGATGGTGGATGCTGTGTTATACTGAAGGGGAAGGAGCTGGGGCAAAGCTGTGCCAAGCTGGGTGTGGAAGGCAGTGACAGCCCTTCAGCAAATAGTGTGTGGATGTCTGTCCTTGGTTACTGAAGGGAGACGAGGGCTTGTCTCAGGAATAGGGTGTTGCCTGTTCATCTTCGGCCCAGTGATCATTACGAATTAAAGTCAGAAGGCTTTGCCTGCACTGTTGAACCCTTCCACAGTACTGGGCAGTGTAACATAGAGAGGCCAGTTGGGTCTGAAGGTGCTAGTGCAGGTACAGCCAGCTGATGCTTACCTAGCATATTCTGACTAGTTGCAGTTGGATGTACCAGGGATTTTTTGTTTGGTTTTTCCTGGCATGTCCTGTGACATCACTGTGTTAACTAGATTATTCCCCAAGTCAGGGGTGGCTGACTGCATGATTGACAGTAGTATGCCAGTCTAGGCTTAGAGGAAAGTGCCTCTGGGCCTAGACAAGTTTGGCATATGGAAGTAAATAATTTGTTTGCTGAAAGCCTGTTTCTATTTTAGGTAAAATTAGGATAACTTAAATTAGAGAAAAGAGTAAATGCCTACTCTTGCCCTCAGTCTTTCTCTGCTTATTTAATTGTAGGTAAGGATCCCTTACCTTAACGTTCAGGTTTTAAGTGACATGGTCTGTGAGTGTCTTTTCACCATAGATGACAACTGAAGACTGTAATCCTTGTGCTCTTCAGAAGATGAGCTAGTCAAAGGAAAAAATGTACACTGTGGTTCTATTGCTCTCTCTCCTTGGGCAGAAGAAGAAAAGGATTCCAGAGCAGCATGACTGTGTATACCTCCTGGAAGAGGATAAACTGTCTCTTTAGTCAGTCTGCTTCCATTGAGATTGGAGCAATAATGTGGGGATGTTTTTGTCTTCAGAATCGTGTGGTATTGTGGATCTCTCTGACACTGCATGGGAAGGTCCATTTCCTATGGAAGCAGGTGTGACTGACAGACTACCTCAGCAGGTGTCATCCAGAAATGATGGTTTCAGTCCCGTAAACATTCCAGAAACATCTGATTAGTCCCATTTTTCAGCTGGTGTTTGATTAGGGTTTCTCATATTTTTCTCTTCTCCTGCCCTATACTATTGAAAGCATTAGGCAGAGATGAATCACCAGGAAAACTGTGAGCCCATTTAGTTGGAAGTGTGACAAGCTGAAAAAGAGATTACTCTGCATGAATATTGTACACAACATTGTACAAATCATATGATTGTTTCCTACCCATTTTTAAATATTTACTTCTGCAAATAAAGTTAAACAATATGACAACAATATGGTATGTAAATGGTAACAATATACTAATAAAAAATCATAACATCTTTCTTACATCTTTAAAGAAGAAAGCTTTGCAGTTGTCCCTAGTTTAGTAGGAGCCGTCTCTTGTTTAGTGGGAGCTTCAAATTTTAGTTACAGAGTATTTTCAAGAGGTGATACCTATTTGAGGACCTCATTGCACCAAGCACTTAAAAGTGATGTCAATGTTTTTGCTTTATAAACAGCCAAATTAAAGGTTTTTGTAAGGGACAACTTTGATTTAGCAATGCCAGGTCAATTAATGTCTTACCACATTTACTTCTCCACCCTACTGTATGAATGGTTTGCTTTGTGAATATAGCATCATTCCAACAGATTAAATAATTGGAACTTTTGTCAGATGCTTCTTCTGTATTTATTGCATTGCATCATGATGTAGTCTCGCTAAGAGCCTTCCAAATCATCTCAGAATTCCAAAATAAGTATTATTTCATTGGCTGTGTTCTTGTCCAATTTTATACAAGTCATAAGGGAATGAAATCGCATCAGACCTGTTTTGTGGAAAGGATGAGGCCCTTCAGGTGATTTCCTAAGTATGTATCCTCTTTCTGAGAAAATAAAGGATCTTGCAATCTGAGATCCTGGCATTGTCAAAGCAAATCTCTGTATGTCTGAGTCTGATACCTGGCAGTATCAGAGCATGCATAACAGGGCCCCTGCAACTTTGATGCTTTCCCTTAAAAATATCCTTGCTGCTAATATATGTAAGCTACCAACCTGGCATTCTGTATCTACTCTGAGATATTGTATAATGTGCCAGGCTCAGTCACCTGTTTCAGTGGAGAAATTTTCCATCCCTGTTCCAACAAGGATTTGAACTCTCCCAGCTAAATGTTTTGTTTTTTCTTTTTTTTTTTATGCTGCCTTGTGATAATCTTCTATGAATTACAGACTTCAGTGAGCCTCGAAGGAAAGAAGTAACTGAATGTCTGGCTCTGAGTGATAGCCCACATGTACATTCACAGTAGAAATGTATGTTCCTAATGACTTAAGACTGGATAACTTTTTACCTTTCGTGTAGCGGTGGTTCAGGGTGATACTTCAAGTATATCCTCACTTCTTTTTCTATAAATGTGAACGTACTCCTTAATGGCTAAATAAGGTAGACTGCTTGCACAATTTCTTCATTTCCACTCAGCCACCTGCTCAAGTGGAGTGCTATACTGCTGATAGTTTTTAAGCTCCATACAAAATGCTGTTCCATATTTGTTTGTCAGCCAGACTAGCCTATGCAGCTCCTTAGTGGCCTTTCCAAAGAATTTTGTCCTCTTGTAGATGAGCACCAAATCCCATTTTCTGGTGAGTGTGGGAAGTGTTTTTGCCACCTCAGAGAGAAATCTGTTCTTAATGTCTACTCCAGCTATCCTTCCTAAATGTAGAAGGAGAAAATATTAGGACCTCTACCACTTGTGGAACTTACTTTAAAAGCCTACGAAGGCCTCATGGATTACAAGTGGGAAAAAAAACAGTTCACATGCCTAAGAGCTGTATGTTAGTGTGTTGTACAGAACTCCCAAGTGTGGACAGATGGAAGGCTTGCATTGGGGAAGAGCTTCTATTGGGCTCTGAGCCATTAATGCACACATGTCCAAGAGCCCATGCTAAGTCAGCACTGCCCACATCTCAGCACCATCTACAGAACTGAATCACTTCAGCCAGTGTCCTCCTAAGAGATTCATCGTCATGTAATGTCTTTCTCCCTTGCCTCCTCTGTTGTAGCCTAGTAAAGTAGAGGCAGACTTCATCTGCAAACCTGATGATGTTTTCTGAATCTGCCCTCAAATCTGGAACTGCCTTTGGGAGTTTAGTTGGCACTCAGTCCCTGGTACAAGCACTTATTGTCAGTCTGTCTTCAGCCTTGGACTCCCCCACTCCCAGTTACCTGTTGCTCCTGGTAGCAGTGTCTTCATACAAGGCACCTTTCTTAAGTGCTGCATTCAGTTTAAGAAAAAATAGCCCTATGTATTGGCCACCTTTCTCTTCAGACACCTGTACTGGCAGTGAAGTGTATTCCACAACCACATAAATAGTTGTTTTTGTTGATAGTAAATAGACTTTTCTCATCAACAGTAAGTTTCCTTCTTTTGCCAAGGTCTCCCTTAAGCCTCATAGTTTGCAGGGTTCCCAAGAATCCTGTACCATAGTGCCACCCAGAAGTCCATCTGTAGTTGACCAAGCAATATGCTGTCTTGGAAGCCCCAAAGTCCTGGCAGTACTTGGCAAAGAAGTTCGGCAGTTTTTGTTTGTGGGAGGGACTTAGACTTTCTAGTACGCAGCCGACTGCTTTGAGTGTGGCTAGTTGGAAATACCCTTGGTATGAGTTTCCTGGTGGCCTATGCATTTCAGAAAAAAATCAGGTCACTGCTATGTGATGTCTGTCTGTTTTTAAGTTGCATTGTCTCTGGTTGTGTTCTAGTAGCTTCCTTCTTTCCCTTTGATTTTCTACACAAAAGGATCTGGAGTTAGTGGTAGGTGTTCCATCTCTGCTTTTTGTACCTGCAAAAGCTGAAATTGTGTGACTGGGCAGATAACACTTGAAACAGCTCCTTGTCTCAGATGCTTGAAGCTTACACATGGCATGGAGAATAATAGACATGAATCCATAACTCTGTTTTTGCAGGCTGACAATTTCTGTTCTTAAGGAGACTGTGTTGTATTATACATTGAATATTTTGATAGCACCAAGATATATTACAATGAGTTTTTGTTTGAATAGTTGTTTTATGTAGTTTTGCATAGCTGAAAGGAATGGAGCTTTTAATAACATTGAGATTTCAAGTTGTTCATTGCTAATGTTACTTGTCTTGGCACAAATGTATCATCTGTTGTCTCACTGATTTCAAAAGACCATGTTATCTTTAATATAAAATAACTCCAGTTATCGTCATCACAGGTAAAATGTTCCAGTCTCCGGATATCACTCTTATTGTAGAGTTCATATTTATGTTTTATAAGGAGAAACCTATTGATTGGCTCCTGGACCATATCCTCTGGGTGAAAGTGTGTAACCCTGAGAAAGATGCTGTAAGTTTGGTTTTATAATAAAGCTTCTAAAATCATCATTGAATCATAGAATGGTTTGAGTTGGAAGGGACCTTAAAGACCATCTAGTTCCAGCCCCTCTACCATGGGCAGGGACACCTCCCACTAGACCAGGTTGCTCAAAGCCCCGTCCAACCTGACCTTGAACACTTCCAGGGATGGGGCATCCACAGCTTCTCTAGGCAACCTCTTGCAGTGTCTCACCACCCTCATAGTGAAGAAATGTTTTCATGATGGTGAATTAGTTGGTTTTGGTGAGCTGGAGGCTAGCATAGTGTGTACAGTTACAGCACGTCCTGAAAGAGTCTTTCTTCCTACCAAGATATTAATCTCAAAAAGAACTTTAGAGAGACAGTTCTCAGAGGCATTATAACTGTTACTGTTTCAGATTTTGGAGATGGATGCAGTAGGATGAAAAGCAAAAGTCTAGTTAGTTTCTGTGTGTAACAGTCCTAAAATAAACTCAGTCACCTAACCCCCACTGAGGCTCTGCAGAATGCCACTGCTTGGATAGCAGTCATAGAGAAGGTTCCAAATGAGGAAAAAACTTTTGGATTTTGGTCCTTCATTTCTCAAGTAGCCCCCTTGCTGAAAGACTGAATAAACAGGTTCTGTGCAAGAACCTTGAACAGTATTATATTTGCACAGCAGTCTTGGTAGATTTCTGGAATGAAAACAAGAACAACTGAATAAGTAGATCTGGGTTCTTGTCAAGTCTTTTTGGTTCATGTAACATCACATAATTGCAGTAAAAACTCAGCAACCTTGTGTTGGTTTTACTAATGTGATTTTTTTTAAATTTTTTTTTTTTTTTTTTTTTTTTCCCCCTTTTCTCCTTTTTCAGAAACATTGTGATCGACAGAAATCTAACCTACGGATACGCTTCAGGCCTTCTCTTTTCCAGCATGTTGGCCTCCACTCCTCTCTAGCAGGGAAGATCCAGAAACTCACAGTTAGTAGCTAAAATTTTCCTTCCTTTCCAGAGCAGGCTGATTAAATGAAAAACTTGTAGCCTTTGAGAAAGCAGGCATTTTCTTGTCTGGCATTTTCAAGCATGTTGTATATTGCTCCAGTGGGAATGAAATCTGATTTAAACTGGTTACTATCAAGTATAAGAAGTGCTAATCTCAGCTTATTTTTGTGGATTTTTGCTAGGGGATATTTTTTCTAATTTTTTTACTTTAATGGCATGTTCATCTTATTAATCTGTACAAGATCTGATAAACCCCCAAATGAGTAATGCATTCATTTTGCATTTTATGCAAGTGTTTGTTTTAAGTGTAACCACTTGGGAAAAGAATATAATAAAACAGGTTATCTGACCAGCATGATGTTTGTCTTTCTTTCAATTAGGATAAAGACTTCCTGAAACCATTACTGCATAAAATCCACGTGAATCCACCTGCAGAGGTTTCAACATCTTTAAAAGTCTACCAGGGGCATACGCTAGAAAAAACCTACGTAGGGGAAGATTTTTTCTGGGCTGTCACACCAGTTGCTGGGGATTATATTCTATTTAAATTTGACAAGCCAGTCAATGTAGAAAGGTTAGTAATTGTTTGCCTTTGGTCTCATATCTAAAGTTGCTTGTTTGCCAGGAATGCTTGAAGGTAGAATTTGGGGCTGTCATTATAATCTAAAGTGAAATGATGTTCAGCTGAAACTATGATCATTAATGTCTTCCCTCTAACTCTTTTACTACTTTAAATTTCATCTTGCCTTTTTTTTTTAATTATTTTTTCTTTTATTTAATCCGGAGCATTTTTGATAAATGCAATTCAAAACCAGTGCTTCTCT